GGTCTGGTACGGCTCCTGGCCCCCCCCCGCCGCGTCCCCTCTCTGCTGCTGGGGGTGGGGGGTGAGGTTTTTGGGGTAAAAGGAGGGCAGGCAGAGGGCAGGGGGAGTGTACGCCACATCTGAGGGATGTTCTCGGGCTGAGGGATGGGGGAAGAGCACAGAGGGGGCTGATGGGGAGGAGGGGACCCTAGTCACAGGGGGTGTGGTGTGGGAGGCACTGCTCCCCGACGCGGTCTCCGCTTTGCTCCGCAGATGGCTCAGGAGCTGGGAATCAGCGAGAAATCACCCGATTACCGCAATCCCTTTAAAACAGACCACTCCGAGGTAAGATGGCAATGCCGCTGCCTCGCTCCGTGGGCTTCCCCATCCCTGTTGTGGCTCCAGGCAGCCAGCTGGGGAAGGGAACAGGTGGCTTGGTGGGGAATGGCCAAAAACCCCCAGCACGGAGGAAGCTTGCACAAAACGTGTGCATCAAATTCCCCAGCTGGGATGCAGGGTTGGTTTTGGGTGCCCGGTGCCATCTCCCCCCTCTTGTGGCCATCTGCCCCATGGGAGCGTCGGGACCTCATTTGCCTTGTGCCACGTCCAGCCTCGAGCCCTCTGGCATCGTGGGGCTTGCACGACGGCTTCAGTAGGTTTGGGGGGTGGGGTGGGGGGTGCCTCTGGGAGGCTGTGGGAGCTCACCCATGCTGACCCACTGCTGTCACACCGCAGTTTTTCCCCAGTGCCGACACCTTCCAGAAGGCGCTGCGGGAGGAGGAGAAGCGGAGGAAGAAGGAGGAGAAGCGGAAGGAGATACGCAAGGGCCCACGCATCTCTCGCTCGCAGTCAGAGCTGTAGCACGCGGGGGGTCGCGCCTCGCAGTGGGGGCGATGACGCCGGGACGTGGAGCAGCTCGCTCCCTCTCGGCGGCCTTGGGCTGGTGCCCGGCGGTCCCCTTTCTGTTTGTGCCGTGGGTTTTGTTTTGTTGCCTTTCCCTTTCGTTCAGTGGGGGCCGGGTAGCAGTGCCGGTGGGTTGCCCCAACAGGGCTGGAGGGAGCTGAAGTGGGGTACCCCTTCCCCAGAGCCAAAGCACAGATGGGAAGGCAGCGGGGCCATCCCCTGGGCTGGTCGGGGTGCTGCCACCCATGGTGGGGTAGGGCAAGGGGGACACGCTGCGGCTGAGCCCCATGGGGAGCCCGGGGACCACTCCCCTCCACAGCACTGGGTGCCCCACGCTGAACGTGCCTCCTCTGTCATGGGTGGGCTGGGGAGTGCATCACACCAAACAGTCCCATGAGCAATGCTGCTTCTCTCAGTTTTGGGGGGTTTTTTGTTGTTTTTTTGTTTTGTGGGGTTTTTTTTAAGCCAGTGATCTCATTGGCACCCCTCCACCCAGCTGCTACCTCCGCCGGATCAGCTCTCCCCTCTTCCCAGCAGCGCTTTTACCAAGCAACGTGCATTTCATCGGTCAGCCGTAGTTGAAAAGGCCGACGGCGCCGGTTCCCGGCCTGATGGCATCCCACTCTCCTGGGCGGCTACTGCAGCACAACCCTACAGGGAGGCAAACGTGCAGTAAATTTTTGGGAGGGAGGGATTTCAGCTCTTGGCCCTCTTTGCAGCCGATGTGTGCCCGTAGTGCAAGCACCGCTGATGCTGAAGGTGCTGGGGTACCAGCCCTGCACCCCTGTGAGCCTGTCCTGCACCCCACGCCCTGCCCATGCCCTCCTGCCCCCGTCCCTCCGGTGTGGGGCTGATCCTAATTTAGTCCCCCAAGCCCCCTTCTCCGGGGGACAGCCGGCTACAGGCATGTGGGGACAGCAGGGCTGAAGCAGGGAGGGAGCCAGCCGATGGGCTGTGACCCTCTGTGGGGCGTTTGGGCTGCAGCGGGAGCAGAGGCGAGGGGCTGGCCCCAGGACGCAGCACGATGGTTGCTGATGAACTCACCCCAGAGGAGGCTCTTGCGGAGGGACCGTCCCCGAGAAGCGGGTGGGTGCTCTGTGCCGGGCTGGAAGCACCGCGGCCCTCAGGAAAAGGGAAATGTCCTGAATTTTTAACTGTGGAGCCAGGTCTATCTGGTGGGGGGGTGGCAGTGAGTGTGTGTTTTGTTTTTTCTTGAATAAAATTGACTTTTTTTTTTTTTTTTTAAGTAAAAGAAGCCAGGCTCTTGCTCCTGTTCCTGGTGGGAGCGGGCATCGGGTCTGGCCTCTCAGGAGGTGAGGGTCCGTGGGGAGCTGCGGAGGGATGGAGATGAGAACGGGGGGGGAGGACAAACCCCTTCCTCTGACCTCCACCACCGCCTTCCACCTGGCCTTTCCCCTCTTCAGCA